CCGCCCCCAGCGCCGCGCCTTTTGTTTGTAAACTTGGCTTGAGGTTGGCACTTTCGCTGTCATCGCTCTCTCTCGGGGTCTGTCCGCCTGCCTACCTGCTTTTATCTCTGGGTCTCTCTGTCTCTATGTTTCTCTCTCTCTGTCTGTCTGTTTCTCTCTCTCTGTCTGTCTGTTTCTCTATCTGTCTGTTTCTCTCTCCCTCTGTTTCTTCTCTTCTGTTTCTCTCTCTCTCTGTTCTCTCTCTCTTCCCTCTGTTTCTCCTCTCTCTCTCTCTCTCTCTCTCTCTCTCTCTTCTTCTCTTCTCTCATCTCTCTCTCTCTCTCTCTCTCTCTCTCTCTCTCTCTCTCTCTCTCTCTCTCTCTCTCTCTCTCTCTCTCTCTCTCTCTCTCCTCTCTCTCTCTCTCTCTCTCTCTCTCTCTCTCTCTCTCTCTCTCTATTTCTCTTTCTCTTTATTTCTCTTTCTCTTTCTCTTATTTCTCTTTCTCTGATTCTCTCCCTCCGTCTCATATTATGTCTTTATAGGCCTACCGCTCCCTCTCTTCCGTCAATATGTCATCCTGCAGCAGAGGTTGTCGGCCAACGCAGAGTTGATCCCTCACCCCTTCGGCTCTCGATGCGACGGCGGTGGAGGCTCAGGGAACAGTGTGTCATAGAAGCGGTGACATTTGTATGACCTCTTTCACCCGATGACACACACGCGTCCCGGCTCACTTGCTTATTCGGATACAGGCACTCGCTCTCGTGCGCGCTGGCAAACACGCGCGCACAGACTCGATTGAATTTTGAAGGGTATTGTTAGCGGAAGAATGGTGGGAGAGTTGGGATAGCAGAAAGTATTGTTGCATTTTGTATTCGGGTTTATTTGCTTCAGTGCTTAAGTGTTGTTTTCACTGACTTCAGCTGCAAGTCATTTTTGTTTCAATGATACGGGCACTGACTTCCGTTGCGAGCATCAATTTTGTAATGTATGCACTAACATTAATAAACATTTACAGTCATCAGTAATGCATACGCTGACTTCGTTTGCAAGCAATAACTTCAGTGATGCATACACTAACTTCAGCTACAGGCGCTCCCTGCAGAATATGCGAGCAAAATTGTAATCGCAGCGCTGTGCTCCGGCGGCCCGATACATCACACACAACCGCGTATTTATTGCTTGTTCGATATGAAGTATTTGGAGTGCAAAGGCCTTTTTGGAGCCAGACTACATGTTGGTCTGAGGGCGCGAGGAATGTGAGTTTGCGCATGCGTGTCCTTGTGCAAGTGCGTGTATGCGCGTGTGTGAGTGCTGGCGTGCGCTCGTGTGTGCGTGTGCAAGTACGTGCGTGTGCAAGTACGCGCGTGCGTGTTTGTAGGTGAGTGGGAGGTGTATGTGTGTGGGGGGGTAGGGGAGGCGAGGGCGGGCATTATTTATATGAAATGAGGCGTTATTTTTAAAGCCAAGCGAGCGTGAGATAGGCTCCCCGAGCCAGGATTTGCACAGTCACTGGGTACAAAGGAGGCTCGGCGTCCGAAGAAACTCGTTGTCTTTGTGTTTCGGTTGCTGTGCTTTTGACCCTTTCGACCTCGTGTCGCTCCACTTTCCGCCGTCGGTACTTTGTCATAGTCCTTCTACACACACACTCATTCATTCATCTTCTCCCTCTCTCCTTTCCCTCCCTTCCCCTCCCTCCCCTCCCTTCCTCCTTCTCTCTCTCTCTCATCTCTCTTCTCTCTCTCTCTCTCTCTCTTCTCTCTCTCTCTCTCTCTCTCTCTCTCTCTCTCTCTTCTCTCTCTTCTTGCTTCTCCCCTCTCCTCCCCCCTCCCCTCTCCTCCCTCCCTCCCTCCCTCCCTCCCTCCCTTCCCCCTCCTCTCTCCCTCTCCTCCTCTCTCTCTCTCTTCTCTCTCTCTCTCTCTCTCTCTCTCTCTCTCTCTCTCTCTCTCTTCTCTCTCTCTCTCTCTCTCTCTCTCTCTCTCTCTCTCTCCTCTCCTCCCTCCCTCTCCTCCTCTCTCCCTCCTCTCTCCTCCTCCTCCTCCTTCCCCCCTCCTCTCTCTCTCTCTCTCTCTCTCTCTCTCTCTCTCTCTCTCTCTCTCTCTCTCTCTCTCTCTCTCTCTCTCTCTCTCTCTCTTCTCTCTCTCTCTCTCTCTCTCTCTCCTTTCTCTCTCTCCTTTCTCTCTCTCCTTTTCTCTTCTCCTTTCTCCCTCCCCCTCCTTCCCTCTCCTTCCCCATACTCCCTCCCTCCTCTCCTCTCCACCCCCCCTCCCCCCTCTCCTTCCCCCTGCTACTTCCCCCTCTCCTTCTCCCTTTCCCTCTTTCCACTCCCCCTTCCACTTTCTTCGTCTTCCTTTCCCTACTCTCTTCTCCCTTTCCCACATACCTATCTTATTTCTCCGTTACTCCATCTCCCAGTCTTTCTTTGCCTCTCTTTGTTTTTTTTTTTTCTTCTCATCTGTCCTCCATCCCCCCTCTCCTCCCCATCATAAAAAGGAAAGGAGTATAGGAATGACGTCAGAGCGAAGGGAGTGACGTCACAAGCTGATGGAAAAATCAATAGGTGACGTCATAGGCTTTTAGTATACACCGTGGAAAAAAAAAGATTCGATTACACGACAGTAATCCGGGAGAGGGGAATTCTCTCATGAACACTGGTTTTTATAGCTGGAAAGGTGGGATTGGGGGTATGGAGAGGGTGGTGGAGATGGGGGTGAGGAGAGGGAAGGGGGGGTGGGGAGAGGGCACGGGGATGAGAGGCGGCAAGGCAGAGGGGTTGGGGAGGGAGGAGAGGATAGAGGGTGGGTAGAGGAGGGGATAGGATAGGAGATAAGGAAGAAGGGTTTCGGAGAGGAGACAGAGGAGAGATGTGAGGAAAGGATAGAATAAGGAAGGAGAAGAGAGGCGAATAAGGAAGAGAGCAAAGGAGACAGGGAAGAAAGATAAAGAGAGAAGGGGAAGAGAAGGAATGGAAGGGAAGGGGGGTGGGGGTGAGAGGGGGATGCTGCTGGGGAAGAAAGAGGCTAGAGCAGATTGAAAAGGGACCTTGTATGCTGCGTGAATGGCTATGTAGACATACGCGCTTGTACGTGATATATATATTATATATATATATATATATATATATTATATATATATATATATATATATATATATATATAGAATATATAATTATATATATATATTAATATATATATATATATATATATAACATATATATATATACATATATATATACATATATATATATATATATATATATATATATATATATATATATATATATATAATATATATATATATATATATTATATGCATGTATGACAACATATATGTGTGGCGTGTGCGTGTGCGTGTATGTGCGTGTGTCCTTTTGTGTTTTTTTGTGTCTATGTGTACGTATGCATGCATGTATGTATGCACAAGTACGTGTGTGTGTGTAACTGTCCGATTGAAGCCGAAGAGTGGGTCAGTCCCGAGAGGCAATTGGCCGGGAAGGCAAAAATCGAGAGGGTAAAAGGCGGCCAGAAATCGGGGGAAGACATTTTCAGTCCCTTTCTGCCAAGAGGCAAAGGAAGTGCCCCAAGAAGATGCGAAAGAGACTTCATGCAAAATGGAGAATTTAAGGAATTTAAGTTCATCGAGGAACTAAAGACTAGGAAGAAAATATTCGGAGGATTTTAAGAAATGGATTTAAAAAAAAGAGGGGACGAGGAAATAAATACATATACTTATGAAATAAGATTAGATGATATGGCTTCCACATCACTAAAACACCGACCTGTCTGTCCGAGCCGTACGTTTTCAGGCTAAAGGAAAGATGGAAAGACGGAGAGTAAGAAAACAGGAAAGGTAAGAAATGAGGTGGAGGGGGGGGCGGTGAAATGTGATGAGAGAGTTGGTAAAAGAAGCACTTGAGGAAGGAGCCAGGTATGGTGAAATATTGTGGAGGTTTTAAATTGCCGTTGGTGTAGCATTGCCGTTTTCCTTGAGTCATATTTTTGAGTCATGTATTTTTTTCTTTGCTTTCGTTTTGTTTTTGTTTATCTTTTTTGGCATTGCGTTACTTTTGAGGGGGTCGTTTTTTCATGTAGGTCTATTTAATTTTTTTTTTAATCATTTATTCTTTGCTCATTTTACGGGGGCCGTGAAATGGCGAGCTATCGCTAAGGGAGGGAGAGGAAGGAGAAGGAGAGGAGAGGAGAAGGAGAAGGAGAGGGAGAGGGAGAGGAAGAAGGAGAAGGAGAGGGAGAAGGAGAAGAAGGAGAAGAAGAAGGAGAGAGAGAAGGAAAAGAAGGAAAAGGAGAAGGAGAAAGAAAAGGAAAAAGAAAAGGAGAAGGGAGAGAGAGAGAGAGAGAGAAAGAGAGAGGTTTGAAGCTGATCACCCCTCATGGTGTCCCGGTTGCATCATTGTGTCTTGTCTGGGGGACTCGCGCTTCCGTTTTTAATTACAGCCGTTGATGAAGTCCCGTCTGGCTGAAGTGTGGTGTTTATTGCATCGTCATGAACTGCCGTTGAGCTGACAAATGTGATTCTGGTTGTTTTCATAAGTGTTTGACTAGGAAGATTGAAATATTTGTCACATTTCATACACGTGATTGCCGTTATTAATTGCATTTTGATTAGCTCCTTGACTGGAGAGCAATGATGTATGATTTCCAAAGCGGTGATGTTCTTCTGTGAATTATCAAGGGCTTGTTTTGATTAGATTTTTTGGTTGCTTAATCGCGTCTTGGTAAGTTTGCTTTTGATGATTTCAGTATCACAGTTTTGCGAGTTTCTGTTTGACTCGCCGTGTGTTATGAATGAAAAACTATTTTAATTTTAATCTCCCTCCGCCCTCCCTCCCTCCCTCCCTCCTCCCTCCCCCCTCCCTCCCTCTCCTCCCTCCCTCCTCCCCTCCCTCCCCTCCCTCGCCCTCTCTCCCTCCTCCTCCTCCTCCCCCTCTCCCTCCCCTCCCCCTCCCCCTCTCCTCCCCCTTCATAATTCGTACATCTGACTGGCAGGCGACGACTCTTCTTAACCCATGTTTTGGTCGTTCCAGGGCGCTCGTGTGTGGATCCCCGACCCGGACCAGGTGTGGAGATGCGCCGAGCTCACCAAAGACTACAAGAATAACATCGTTGCTGTTGTCTACGACGATGCGCAGGTGAGGAAAGATTTTATTTTATTCTATTTGTTGTTTTAGTTGTATTTTTTTCATTCGGTTATTCCTTTGATGAGTATGATGGTTGTAGATATTTGTAAGGGGTTATATGATACGTTATTTGATCGAGGCGAAGGTACAAATTAAAGGTGAGGGTTGATGACAGTGGGGATAAATGGGTGGTGATGAATATTAAATAGTTTACAGGTTGGTAATGATAATTATGTGAAGTAACACGATGTTATGAGGACTTTCATTTAGCCAGTGATCTCAGTGATCTCTCCGAAATGTGGGAGAGATGGTGCCGATTTTTTTGTTACTTTTTTGAATGGTTCTTGGGAGACCTTTATTTCGTTTTCTTTCTCTTTGTCTGTGCGCCTGATTTAAAAAAAAATCTTTCTCCCTCCTTCTCTTGTCTTTATTCTTCTGTCCTCCTTTTTTTCTTCTTTTTCTTTTTCTTTCTTTTCTCTCTCTCTCTCTCTCTCTCTCTCTCTCTCTCTCTCTCTCTCTCTCTCTCTCTCTCTCTCTCTCTCTCTCTCTCTCTCTCTCTCTCTTCTCTCTCTCTCTCTCTCTCTCCTTCTCTCTCCTTCCCCCTCCTCCTCTCCCCCTCCCCCTCCCTCTTTTCCTCTTCCTCTTTCCTCCCTCCCCTCCCTCCTTCCCCCTTCTCCTCCCCCTCCCTCCCCCCCCCCCTCCCTCCCCCTCCCTCCCCCCCCCCCTCTGCTTTCCCATCCATCTCTCTTTTCCTCCCTCTTCCCTCTCTCCCTCTCGGTCTCCCCATCCATTCGTATTAAATCATTAAATCGGGCACCAGAAAGCACCAGAACCGAACATCCAAGCTGAGCGGTGATCGATCTTATTATTAAAGGGAAAAAAACAAAAAAAAAAAAAACACTCACGCTTTGTCGGTAAGTTCTCCATGACTGTATTTCGGGACATTAACCTGAGTTGTGTGTGTTCGTTTCCCTGCATCGTCGGCTTCGATCGACCGACGTTGTTGTGACTGCTGCTGCTGCTGCTGTTTACTGCTGCTGCGTCCCCTTCGTGTGTCTTCGATCTCGCGAAGGGTGTCGAACGCGTAAGTCACTGGAGGAAGTTAGAACTGCACTTGTGAACTTAAAAGTTATTTTCTAAATCACGTGGATTGTGCATGTTTTTTGTGTAAACGATTGTGTATTTATTTTTAATTGTTTGCTGGTTTTCTGGCGGCGTCGCGGTATATTTTGTTTGGTGAGATTTCGTTATTGGAGGGGAACTGTTTTACTGTGTATGTATTGGGGGGGGGGGGTTGTGTGTGCGTGTGCGTGTGCGTGTGCGTGTGCGTGTGCGTGTGCGTGTGTGTGTGTGTGTGTGTGTGTGTGTGTGTGTGTGTGTCTGTGTCTGTGTATGTGTCTGTGTGCTGTGTTTATGTATCTATGTGTGTTGAGAGAGAGAGAAAAAGGGAAGGAGGAAAGAGAGAGAAAAAACGGGGAGACAGAGAAAGGGCAAGAGGAAGTGAAAGATAAAATGAGAGAGAGAAAGAAAGAAAGAAAGAAAGGGAGAGAAGATAGAAATAAAGAGAGAGAGAGAGAGAGAGAGAGAGAGAGAGAGAGAGAGAGAGAGAGAGAGAGAGAGAGAGAGAGAGAGAGAGAGAGAGAGAGAGAGAGAGAGAGAGAGAGAGAAAAGAGAAAAAGAGAGAGAGAAAGGAAGAGAAAGAGAATTACATAGACGTGTGACCGTTCCGCCGTCTGACTTTGTAAGTTTGTGCCGGTAGTAAGTTATGCAACGATTTGTACTGAAAAAAAAGAAAAAAAAGCTACGCGGTGTTGGATTGTGTGGGCATGACGAGCAACTTTATTTCTTTTCTCTCTCTTCCCTTGTCTTGCATGCTCTTCTTCTATTGTGTCGTTGCTCTCGTCTCTATCTTCATATATCTAGTCGCTTCTTCGTTCACTGATCCTTTCTCGTTCATCACTTCTCTGCTCTTTCTCACGTCACTCACTCGGTGATGTATGTTAAGATAATAGTAGTGAGTGACCTATTAGAACAGATAGGACAATCAGCATGATTACGATTATTTGTAGGGTACTTACGAATGACCATGGTACGATGCCTCTACTGGTGCTCTAAGGGCATAGTAGGCTGGTGGTTTTGTACCAATTCGATGGCGTTGCTAGAAATCACTGCGAATTCTTCCACTCGACATCACAAGTCACATCACTCACTCACCACCACTTCACTCTACTTCGACCGAGATGCACATCACTCCACGTGATTCCACTCACATCCACCTCACTCACGGTCACTCTTCCTCTCTCTCTGCTCTCTCGTTCATGCTCCCTTCCATCTCTCTCCCCTCATCAATTATTTTCTTGTTTGCATGATTTCAATTTTAGTTTTAAAAGAATGTATTAGTTTTGTTAGGATTTTGTAATTCATTTTGTGTGTTGTTTTAAAGCTTGTTGTGGAGCTTCACTGTGGAGAATGACCATGTGTGTTTTAGATTGTGTAAACAAGTGACGCAATCTGTGTTGTGTTGCTTGCACGAAATCTCCGAAGGGGCAGGGGAGATTCTGGGAGGATAACGTGCAGTCACCGACACGGGCCGGGACACGCCGTGGACTCGCACTCTTGCTTGTATTCTTACTCTTGCTCTTATTCCTGTTCTTATATATTTTATCTCTCTGCTGTTGTTCCTCTCTTTTTCTCTTGTCTGTCCTCTTTTACCGTTCTCTGTCTGCTTCCTCAATGTGTCTGTCTGTCTCCTTCTCTCCTCTCTGTCTGCTCTGCCTCTCATCTCCGTCGTGTGTCTGTATTAATCTCCCCAGTGACTCTCACCGCTGCTCTCGTCTCTCTCGCTCATGCATCTCTCGCATTCTCTCTCTCGTCATGCTCTCTGCAAGTCTCTCCAATCGTCGTGTCCGTCTCTGCTAGCGTGCTCACGTTGGGCACTTCACGTCACGTCACTCAGCGTCCACTCACTCCAAGCTCACGTCAGGCGTCAGCAGGGTGACAACTCCCCGTCACAGATGTCTCTCTCTCGTCTCTCTTTCTTCGCGTGTCTCATCTCCTCTCTCTTTCGTGTCTCTCTCTCTCTTCTCTTCTCCAGTGCTGCTCGCCGACCTTTCTGATCTCTCGGCTCATCTTCGGCTCTTCGATCTCGATGTCTCTCGTCTCATATCTGTCGTTCCTCCTCGATCCCTCTTCTTCGTTCTTCTTCTCTGCCTCTCTCTCTCGATCTGGTCTCTCTCTCCCTCTGCTCTCTCTCAGTCCTCGGTACTCTCATGCGACCATGCGTCGTGCTCTCTCTCCTCTCTCTCTCGTCTCGGCTGCTCTCTCTGCTGCTCTTCCTCACTCTGGAGCACTCTCACTCTCACTGGCTCACCCCTCGTAACCCGGCTCCCACCACACAGACCCCTCAACCCTCACCACTCACACCGACGTCACCGGCGAAGCTGACCACCTTCCATACACGCTGAAATCGATGGACAGTATCAACTCGTAACTCTCACTCCGTGTCACTCTCACGTACTCATGTCTCTTCTCCAGAGTGAATCTGGCGCTCCATCTAACACTCAGACGTATTGGGCACCACTAGTCTCTCAGTCTCCTCATCACAGCGTCCACCTCAACCCAGGACGTCCGCACCATCGGAGGCAAGTTGCCGTTTCACCCGTACACTCACGATCACTGGTTCACACATCACCTCACTCACTCACTCACTGTCACTCACATCTCTTCTCTCGTCATCTCTCGTCTCTGCTCTCTCCTCTCTATTTCGTTCTCTCTCTCTTCGTTCTCTCTCTCTTCGTTTTCTCTCTCTCTCTCTCTCAATCTCTCTCTCCATCTCTCGTCCGATTCTCGGTTGCTCGTGATCTCTCTGGACTCTCTCTCATTCTCGGGGTCGCTGGCTCTGCTCTCTCTCGTCTGCGCGCTCTCTCTCTCTCCTCTTTCTCTCTGCTTCTCTCTCTCTCTCTCATCTCTCTTCTTTCCTCTCTCGTCTCATCTTTTTAGTTCTCTGCACCTCTTTTCTCTCTCCTCTCTCTCTTCTCTCTCTCTCGTCTGCTCTCTCCTCTCTCGTCTCTCTCTCTTCCTCTCTCTCTAGCTCTCACTCTCACATCTCACTCTCACTCTCCTCGAGATCTCTCCTCCGTATCAACCACTCTCTCCTCTCTACTTCTCTCATTCTTCACATCTTCCTCTCTCTCTCTCTCTCTCTCTCTTCTTCCGCCTCCTTGCTTGCTTGCTTCCTATTTCTCTCTATCTTCTCCTTCCCTTCATATCTCCGTCGTAATACTCCCGCATCATTTGGACTTTTTCCCGCCTAATAAACTTTCCAAATTGCCCTTGTTAAGACAGCTTTCAACTCTTTCCTCTCCTGACCAAGAAAATCCATTCCATTTGCAAGAGTGGCATATATAGACTCTCCTGTGTACACAGTTCGTGCTGGAGAATTTGTATACACTACGTTGTAATGTTACTTCAAATTTGTTTACCGTCACGGCGAATGAGCTAAAAAATATGAGAGTGATATGTGAGTGAAATTGAATTAAATAAATCCTGAGTTAGAATTGAATGAAAAAAGTGTCTTAGACTAAGGTTAGAGGAGAGAAAGTTTTCAGAGTTGTTCTGTGTAATTATTTATTTCGAGGTTTAGTAGTCAAGAGAATATCTTTATATCTTTCAGCAATATATTACTGATGGGGAGTTTAATAATGTATTTTGGTGAGTTATTTAACATCATTGGTGTTTTTTCATTGGCCGGGAGAAGTGGTTTTCCAATGATGAGTTAGTGAGATAATAACGGAGACTGTCTATAGTAGTGGACGTAGAGCGAGATTGCTGTCTATAGATTTAAGAAGTTGCATCAGGTGAGTATTTGTAAATATATATAAGAGCTTTTTGTGAGTGACGGTAGAACGCATTGTGCGCTACAAGAGAGCTCCGTAATGCTTCTGGACTTATACATAGTTGATTGGGTCATAGTGCGTTCATTCTTCATATTAATTTGTATGAATGATTGTGTTTGTGACTGATGTGCAATTTTTTTCACTGCCTTTTGTAAAAATGCCTGACCATGAAATTAAAATACAATATTTGTTTGAGGTAAAACAGTTCTACGACACGTATTTGTATATGCATTATTATGTATCTTCTTGTTTTACACATGTTTAATGAATGTTTAATCGAAACGGTTATTTTCACTCATTGCCTTTTCCTTTGACTCAAAATATTAATTATGTTATGTTATTTAAAAGAGTTGTTATTCATGATTGCCTGCAGTGCATGTCAGTTTCACCTTTCCTCCATTTTATCTGTTGCACATGCACCGGAATGCTGCAAGACCCGATGAAATAGCATCCGTGGCCTAAAATGCACTTGGTTTTTGTGTGCGTCTGTTGGATCTAGAATTTCGGCAGCGAGGGTTTTGTTACCTGTAGACTTTAGAGAATGGTGAATGAAACACTTTGTCTTTTGCCAACTTTATTTTTATTTTCTCCCTTTAAAAATTATCTAGTTTATTAATTTATTTTTTCCTGAAGTGCGCAAAAATACTTGGATATAATTGGATGTGTCTCGTTACCCGCTTTTGTGAATGGGTTCATCAAAGCGTTTCATTCACCATTTTATTTATAGAGTCGTGGCATGCGGCAGAGTTTGATTTATATGTTACATAAAACACCAAAATAAATGTAAATTGCTTTGTGAATGAATTTAGATAAAAACTACCAATTACAATGTTTGTGATGATGAATGAATTTTCTTGTCAAAGGGACCCACCGACGTTCGGTATTAACGATCCAGTATTTTATTATGCAAGCTTTTGTCCATGTATATTGTTTAAGTGATGAGTAATTAAAGAAAAGCAACTTGTCTGTTATTAAAAGCACTCTCGGGGACGGTACCAGAT